ACACGTCTGACAACCTTGACCGGTTGGGCCCTTCTATTCGTCATGTGTTTTAGAAAGATCAATGTTTTTTCATTTATTGGATAGTTTAAACCTAGTTGTAGTTGGTGAATCGGTTTATTGTGCTTGTTTTATTATATTATATACAGTATGCATATCATATTTAGGCATCACTTTTTCCATTCAAAATAAAGATGGCCTCTCACCGATTCATTGCCATTCGAATTTTCGTGTCATTATTTTTGTTTCCAAGCATATATTTGGGATGTAGTTTACAATGCTGGTGGCATCATGTCTCTAAGAATAAGATCCTGCAGTATCAATTCTTTAGCACTGCCAAAAATTGAGTAGACAGACTTTTTTTTTCGTCTCGATGAGAATTTATTTACGAACGCCATTTTGTTTTTGATTTACTAACTTGCTCGACTCGAGTCAGCGGGTTGGCCCATTTTATAGTATGAAAACTACGTTCAACCATACTTTGTTTTTATTGTGAATAGATTTGTACATTAACCTTTTAGTGATGCGGTTAGTTTTTTTCTCAGATGTTTGTATTTTGACAAATCACGATAATATGTTCTGTTCTGTTTAAAGTTTGTGATCACAGTGTTAAAGTTAGTGTACGCTCAGCTTCGTGGCTCTTTGTCATTGGGAAAATAGACTGCGAAGCGTTTCCAGACCGGGGATAGAGGAACTGTGGGTTTTGGTAAAAACCATGAGTATTAATTACCTAATTTGCATGATAATTAGCTAATTTTTAGCTGTTCCATGACTGTTCCACTGATATCTAATGAACCACTCATTAGATTTTGATGAAACTTGGTACATTAGATTTGATTAGTTTTAGGTAAAAATCTGTGCATATTAATTTCTTAATTTGATTAATGATTAGTCAATTTCCCATAACTAAATCAAGTTTTCATTGTATTGATAATATAGCTTGATATTTGTCAGCCAAGAAGTTGTTTTTTAGATATTTTAAGTTCACAGAAGCATTCTCTACAACCACGTCACAGTCTTACTACCATCTCTATGCACTACAGCAATGTCCTCTGGTGAGGTCAAGACTACCTTGTATGCAAATTAGGACTAATGAGAAGCCTTGTTGTAAAACGCAATAAGTTACTGATAGTAGACAACTTTTTCATTAAAATATTTATTTTGTGCATAGATATATAAACTATGATAACATTCACATACCAATAAGTATGGACATCGGGGTAGTAAGTTTTTCACAGGCACTTTCAGTTGTTTGTAAAACATATTATTAAATCTCAGTGGACTTGAATTTCAAACTTTTGTTTGATCTTGCAACATGCATTGATTGAATGATTGCTGAACTATTCCGGGTCCTGTTGTATAAACATTTATAATTGTATCAAGCTTTTAATTTTTCTGAATATTAGACAATATGATCAACAGTAGTTCATATAATGCGTATAGTGAATCAAAACAAAAACTTGATTTCTAAGAAATCAAAACTGCAGAAGTGTCTTAGAATTGGGGTCGTGTTTCATATTGTACTACTTATTGAAGCCTGGATATTATTTGGTGTTTTATTTCTCGATAGATTTACATTTCTTGAAATTGTTGTTTTGCAGGAAACCTGACAACCATGAGTAGAAATTACAGTGAATCTAGTGATGCAAGCACACCTACACAAGGAAGAGTACATTTTGAACCAGAAACTATCACAATCCACCGCAAGACTTTATTGGATGAAGAGATGGAAGGAGAAAGTGCCGACAGCACGTTACCACTCGTCACGCCAAGACCGCCACCCCCTAAACAGCCCACAATAACAGAGTTGGAAATGGAGTTTTTATAGCTTTCATAGTGCTGATATAAAGTGTGTGATGTGTGTGTAAACAAGTTGTCTCCTTGGCAACCATGCATACCTTTGATATGGCTACGAGCTGAAGCAATACATTATAACAAGCCAGTCAAGGTGTCAAGCAATTATTCTACTCTAATATATCTCAATTTATTTCAATATGTGCCTTGAGTATATATTAATGAGTCAGTCATGACTGAGAGTAAGTTTACTGCTAAAGTGTTGAGAATACATGCAGTCTTTATGTATATTTAAACAAATTCTGAACTGAAATTCTCAATGTTAGTCCTGCAAGCCCATATGTAACATAATTATTGAAATTTCTTGTCTGGCACAAGAAGCTTGACTGGACATTGATTATGATATAGCTGTGATTCTGAATGATGTTGTAATGTTATTATTATTATCTGATGATTCAATGCCCATGTTTTCCATTTGTCCATGTATTCTGTCATAATATTTTAGTTTTGTTATTAATTTTGTTATTGTTCTGTTGATTTTTTTAAAGAAAATTGAAGAATGGAAAAAAAATGCAACATAATAATTATATGCTGTTATTTTTATAGAATTGTAATCACAGGTGAAAAAAAGCACTTATACTACCTTAGAGGGGGGGGGGGACACCATGTTACAATGAGGTTGTGTAATTGACACTACTAGTGCAAACTAACTAATACCCCAATGTTTGATTGTTCACTGGTTGCATACAGATTTTGAGGGAAAGTGACAAAATCCACAATTTCTGAAAAAAAGCGTTACCTGACTTACCAAAATGATATTAATAGTCAGTTATTTTCCATGATATCAAACCTCACATTTCTGAGACAATTTTTTGTAATATTCAGAAAACAAAACAAAAAAACTGTTCAAATTTTATCCAATGCATAATCTGACATGATATTATGCATAAAATGCTGTCAACAACAAATATTCTAACCTATTGTTTGATTTCACATGGTGTCAATATACAAATCCTTCTGTCCATTGCCATCATTGTCGACTCCACTTTCATCTCACTCATATACTGCCAGCCAAGAATTCAGTTCATTTTCACAAATGCTGCTGCTAATGCTGGTTCTTTTCGTTTTTAAGATTTGAAATCTTTTTTTATATATATATTTTACAAATTTGGCTTTGGCGTCTTTCAATTATGTGTACAGTTTTCTTCAAAACAAGTTTTATAAATTAAATTTTTTGGGACTAAAACAAACATTTACATGAAAATAGAGTTTGGTAAAATGGGATGGGCAGTTGGATTTTGAAGTATTTCATGAACAATTGAAAATTGATTGTTTTTTTGTTGGATATTAGCATGGAACAATTGTTGATATATTCAGGTTGCTGTGTCCAGATGCAAGTGGTTGTATTTCTACCTGAATTTTAACAATTCAGCCACAGTTCCATGTCTTGATTGCTGTAAACCATGTTTTAATATTTGTATACAGTGAGAATCATGTATTTAGATATGCAACAGTCTGTTTATTCACTCAGGGTTAACACAATAGCTTATTGTTTTCTAAAATATTATGAATTGAGTACTCTCTACCTCCCAGCTGACAAACATTTGTGAAAGTATCACGGGCCTCTTAAACTCAGGAGCAGAACACATCATGATATTGTTGATGTCATTACGTTTTGTTCCTACCCCTATCACTGCCTAGTTTGCCATGAATCGTTCTGGCCCAGCCAGACACCATTTACACTTCCCTCAACTTCCCTACCTAGAAGATTACCTCAAATACTGGTATTGTCAAGAGGCCCCGCTTTTGCAATGATGATGTCATGTCTGTGTGAGCATCTACTTTATTGTGTACAAGTGGTTTCAGGTGTGAGGAGTTGTTACATTTTCAATTCAAGGGTGCACATGGTAAACAATTCATTGTGTTTTGTCTTCTGGGGATGCTCACCCTTTGAAGGGCAAAAGTCTGTGTATTAAGCAGTGCCTGCAAAAATGCTTTAAAACAAGAAGATTTTTATGCTCAAAACTACAGCAAGATAGCAGTGTAAAGCATGGGGAGTGAAAAAAGACGCTTAGTTAGGTTGTCATTTTATTGCCAGAGCTGTACTGTTGTGATCCACTAGAGGAGGTAGTATGTTATTGACGACTATTGTTATCAATGACATGCAGTCCAGAAAGTCATGCCCAAGTAGTACCCCGACTAAGAGTAAATGGTAGAGAGCTCTTCTGACATTTCAAACCGTGATATAATGTATGTATTCCCATGTTACTTCAGTAAAACACCTCAAATTATCAGTTTCTGGCTATGTACAAGATTTATATTTATTACATTCAATATGCAAATTCTAATGAGGTTATTTGCGCAACATTTATGGGTGTGTCACTTTCAACATGTAAAAAACTTGATGTATATATTATACCCATATATTTAAATCTAAATTAATTCCATGTTGTGCTCACTGTCTTGGCAGTACAGCGCTAGCATCTAGTCTTTATCAATGTACACACCGCTGTCCACGAGTGTAAGCCTTTGCCTAATTGTAGTTTTATTGTCGTGGAAGCCAATGTGATTATTTAATAACCCAGTTTATTGCATGGTAGTTATAATAAAATGTTTGCAAGGTTGTACCAAAATATGCAAAGACTGATTTGGGGAACATTTGCATTTTTATAATCAGTAATAGTGATATGTTAGTATGATTACAATTGACACATGCAGCAATAAATTCTGCACTCAAGTTGTGTGTTTTATATAGTCATTAATCCCATACTATTAAACTGCAGTTTATGTACTAACAAATATCAATTGAAAACAGAAAAAGAATTAATTAATGATAGCAAAGAGTGATACTCTTAATAGTCTTGTACACAAGATCTAACCTTCCTATATAATCAGCTTCTTTATAGAATTGTACTAAACTGAGGCATCAGATTGCACATTGTACTGCTTTTAGCTGTCACTTCCAAAATTTGAAGTCTGTATTTGGGAGATTCAGCTAGCTATGCAAGAATATGTGCAGTGTTTGATTTGCAACAAAGCACCAAAAATTGGGACCATGTCATTAATCATGATGATTTTTTTAATTGGTAAATACATATATAAAAGATTGTGTTGTACTGTGAATCATGTTTGAATAGATAGTATGTGTAATATGTACAGTATCATAACCTAAACTAATAATGAATTACTGCAGTGGTCTTTGTAAATGCTCTGAGAAAGATCCAGATTGTGCCAAACCTCAGCAATTGAGCTGTTTATTTCAAATCAAGTATTACTAGTCAAACTAGAAATGTGAAATCTTTTTAATTATGCTTCATTTTATTTACCTTATATATAAATATATATTCCATATTTGTTCTATTAGTAGTGCAAGCACTTGCGTAAACTACAGAGGTGTTTCTTTGGACAAATAATTTGTAAGTTTGAGTATACAACAAATGTAATTAGGAGCTTGTAGGTGCTGGAAATGCGCTTATAACAGAGCAAATATGGTATATGTAATTGTTAGAGTGACTTTATACATTTTTGTTTTCTATTTGTATGCTCTTTCACCTTTATGTGTTCCACGATGGGCGGCCAGTGTACACATGTGTTTTTACGCTACTTGGCTTATTTCTTGCACATGTTTTGACCTCACTGTATGCATACAGTTGAAGGATCTGTGTCATGATTTGTTATTTATTAATCTGAAATATTTGTATATGTTCAGGGAAATATTAGTTGAGTTGTGAAGGCAACAAAAGCTCTTTTAGTGTGGATTTGACTTGAGAACATGGTGTACCCTGGCTGGCTGGCCGGCCAATTATCCCCCCCCCCCTTCTTTTTCTTTTCTTATTATTAGAAGTGTGTTTTGACAATATCATGTGTATATTTATGTTTCTATAATGTATGGTAACATTGTCTATATTACAATTTTGAGCCGAACAAAAAAAAACTTTCCACTTTTGTATGTACAGTTCATTTATCAGGGAGGGCATTTAACAAAGAATAATAAAGAAGTCTCTTTCACTTGTTTTTAACTGACTGATTCATTCATTGTTTAGATTGACCTGAGTTGTGTCAAGTATCAACACCAAAATAAAAATGGTATGACGATACATTAAATGTTAAAGACTTTATCAAGATTTATGACATTGTTTTTTTAAATAGGTACATATCATTAATATGCAAAAGTACACATCATTAATATGCAACCTTTACATCTTAATTATGCACAGATATCTCCAATTTACCACTCAATACATATCAATGCAACCTACATAGGTGCTCTCGGATAATCCACTGACCTGATTTCTTTAGGGTTGAAATCCTTGTATATAAATGACCTAATTAGCATAAATTAGCCAATTTTCTGATATCACTAAGTACTTGTCAGGTTTCATATGTATGTTCTTTATAACCTTTCTTTGATTGGGTGTTTGGAAAGCAATGAAAATTGGAAGACTCATAACCATCGTAAAACATGCAAAGGAACCTCGTCTCTGATGACAAGTTACAACAATACACTTTTTTTTAAGTCTTTGTTTCCTTTGA